TTATTTCGATAACATTTAACAAAATCACCCAAAAATTAGCTAGTCTACTTTTTGAGGGTGCGTTGAAAGTTGAACGTGTTTACTCGGTTTCGTAGGATGCCACCAAATCAATTGCTTGTCTCTTTTTTCTTAATAAAAAATGCCACAAAAAGAATATTTGTGACCAAAAGAGTTAGAAAAAGGTGTAGTAGCGTTTGATTTGTAGCCCAAAGTATTTAATTCTTTTTATATTACTGTTGTTTAGATCAAGCCGGGACTTTTGTATATTTGTGAGCCAATATTTTGTTAATTTATTGACCAAGTTTGACACAACACTATTCTCTTATAATTATTGGACTATTATTTGACAACAAATCATGTATCTCATGACAATTATTATCTAAAAATCATCTGATTTGAAGTTATGATCTTTTTTTTTGCTTCACCTACGTAAACAACTCGTAAAATCCATGAGTTAAACTGTTTATTCTTTATATGACTACACGAACCATGTGATGACAGTAATGAGAACTCAAGATGAATAAACTACTCAGCTCGTTGAGTTTAGTATTTCTCCATAGAATATTTTCTTCAAACAATCTGTAATTTGTTTCACGGTGGCATTTAAGAGAGTTGTTGTCTTCCATAAGTGTGTTGATTTTATTGAGGTTGTTTGGAAAGTTGGTTTTTGATTAAAATGATGTTCATCTTTGAATATTACTCAAACGACCTTATGTACTCATTTTATCCTTATTTGTTTCAAAGCAAAAAATATATTTACGAAACTATTATTAATGAGCTGAGGCAGCAAAGATTTTTCCGCCAAAAGCGAATAAGTCTACCGTTTATAAGATGGTAGATTTATTAAGTGGTTGGTAAACTTAATTCAAGTCCGTAGATTTAATCGACGAACGGTAGAGTTAATATTTCAATGGTAGAATTATTGTGCAGACTTATTTTTACTTAGTGATAGAGATGTTTTGGAGTGGTAGATTTATTTTTGAGTGATAGACTTATTAGTCGAATGGTAGATTTATCTCGGTAGACTTATTATTGAGTGGTAAATCTACTTGTATGTGATGGTAGATTAATTACTCGTGGTAGATTTAAATTCCTCGATGGTAGACTTAAATTCCTGGTTGGTAGACTTAATTTTTGATCGGTAAACTTATTGATAGTTCGCAATCATAGACTTATTTATAGTAGTGGTAGATTTATAACATATGGTAGACTTATTTATAGTAGTGGTAGAGTTAATTTTGTGATCGGCAGACTTATTTATAGTAGTAGTAGAGTTAATTTTGTGCTCGGTAGACTTATT